AAGGAGGGAATCGTCCAGAAGCACTCAGATTTATTCAACAGGAAGGGAACAACATTAGATCACCGACATCGAGAGTGACAAGTGCTTTGATAAGAGAGCCATATTGACTTATCTTCAAAATGGCAAAAAGTTATCGAACAAAATAGTGCATATTTGACCCAAATCGGATAATTTAAACTATAGTAAATAAAGCCATTAATTGATAGCAAGTATGATATAATGGATGACTTTTTACTTGGCCAATATCTTTTATATTATCTTAAAAAAAAAGTACTACTGATATTTTTTAATTTCCTAAAAGTTGGCAAAAATAAAAAAGAACATGAATGAGGGATCGAACTCGCCTTACTTTGTATTGTAGATATCATGTAACTATAGAAAAAAGGAAGTAGACCTAATCTCTTTGATCAAGGAAATAATTGTGCATTCGGCGTTTGGAAGTTTATTTATTCCTGTCTGAGAAATACAATAAATATTATTAACAAACTCATTTGCATTCATAATGTAAGATTGGGATTTTTGCTTTTTGGTCTACCTACAACAATTACTAACTCAACAAATTCATGTTGTCATTTATCAGGATTTTAGTTACTACCCATTTTCCAACGTAAGTTTCCCATATTATGAAATATTGGTTTACGCCTGCAAGATGAACAGTATCCTTATGGTTTGTGTTACTTTTATGCTCCACATTTATTTCTAATAAAAAATATTTTTTAGGTAAGTAGCTACTAATCTTTAAACACTTCCAAGACTTCAGTTCTTCGGGAAGTGATAGAGAAGATAGAAATGACCGATTGGCGGGTGCCGTTCTAAGTAACACGGAATATGAAACCATTGATTAGCAGGAAGGTAAGAAAACCCTGTTTCGAAGTGTATGAAGGAGAAAAGTGTAAGAAAATATGAAAATCTGAGTAAAATACATAACTTTAGTTTTAAGGATAAAATCAACTCCTTGCAGATTGTTAACACTGGTAAACACTGTTTTTGTCACACGAATTTTGTGACGATTTTTGTTTACGTCATTGTACCCTCATTAAAGATATATAATTAGTTTGTTACTATTTCCTTTGTTTGTGACACCAACATACTCATTTCGGTCTATACATACATGAGATCCCTTGTTTTCATTTCAATTTCATTTAGGTGACTGTATAACTATTACAATCAATTAATTTAAATTATATTTGCGTTAATTACTTCGTAAATATGCCACGAAATTGTTCTGACAACCCCTGCAGTTTCTGTTATGTGAGCGAATAATTAACTTTCAAATCTCAGTGTGAACAGTGCTATTTATACCATTTAGGATATCATTCAAGTTCGTTCGAACATTCGTGATCTGCAGTTTCTATCTATACAAAAACATGTGACAATAATTTGTAATAGGCGACCTCAGTTTATCCTGTTAATGACAGTTTAACAGTAACTAGCTCAAATGATCTGGTTCTTCTTGAAATAAATAACGTCTATTACAAGTTTGCGAAAACATTGGATTTAATATTTATGGGTGGCATTTCGTCAAGTTTACGGTTTAATGAAAAATTGAAAAGCTTGAAAAATAAGAAGACTAGATTATTCAATCTCTATGAAAAGTCCAACAAAATGTTACGTAGGACTTTTGGGTTTCCATCGTCTATGAATTGAATGACTAAGTTTCGTACACAGATTCGACCCAGCAGCCATTCATTTACCCTTACTTATTGCCTTCATTTGATTGAGTAAAAGTACCTTATATTTCTTGAGAACTCAATATCCTGTGTACTTAATACTAACATATTCAATGTTTCATTAAAGCAAAAATTTATTCTATTCTTTGTGCAAAGTTTATGTTTCACCTCTACATAAACATAGTAGTATATCTTTTATAGGGAATTACAGGGAGATCAGAAAGTTATGTATTTATTATTCCCAAAATTTTCGAAGCTGTTATATCAGTCAATTAGACCATTCAACGTTATCAATTATCGACATCTTACAACTTGGGATTTGTAATGCCAGTAATGGTTTCGAAAAATAGATATCAGATTGATTACGCAGACTACACAGGCAGCTTATATTCATTAATCACCATACAAATGTGGTTATTTATTCTCAAACGCTCATGTACAAAGATGATGCCAAGCTCTTTAAATCAATTCGTTATATTGGCTAGTTAACCTAAACAATTTTTTTAGATGGTGTGATGCGAACTGTATGTCCCTAAATTGAAATAAGTGCAAATATAAGTATTTCTCCAGAAAATCTTTCGTATGCTTTGCCTCTAAGATACTCAATCATAATGTTGAACAATTTACTGACTTCATCGATTTAGGTGTCACAATGAACCCTTAGCTAGATTTTAGAAATCATATACATTCATATTACAAATAAAGCCATCCATTAACATCTTAATATGTATTTTATTAGAAATTAAAATGAAAGATTTAGCACAGCATACCTACGCAGGATAAGCAATCATGATAATCCTTTGGCAATAATGTTACTGGATGAAAGCAATGAAACCATTAGACTTAAGAGATATCATGTTCTAGATCTTCCATTTAGAAATTAACTTCGTTGTATTAAATTACTTATTTCGATATGGAAAAAAATTGTTAATTATCATTATTATATAGTCTTTTAGATCATATTGTATTTTATTATTGACCTCACTGGAGATCAATAATATAAATTAAATAGTAATTGCGCTATATAATTTGCTTACTATTTTTCGACTTTAAATAATGTGTTGTATTAAAAAAAAGAAAAAAATATATACATTCTTGTCATCTATGACCTTTAAATATATAACCAATGTCCTTCTCCTTTTTCCATGGAATTCATAGCAGCAGATGAGTAAATATGTAGCTTTTTAGGGCAAGAGACAAGTGTAACTACGACCATTTAGGTTCTACCGAGCAACAACTTATATATTTGCCATTATCTATACGAGCGATATGGACGGAACCAAAGGATCCACTATCCAAAATTATATTGGACCAAACGACCTGCCTTTGCATAAGTGCTTAAATCAATCCCAAAGGCCGGATTACAGAGAGCAATTTGCCTTAAGTTAGCATGATATGGCATCTCAAGATAGGGTCCTAAGTTTTTAACCGTAAACTGAACAAACAGGATTAGGGTGTAATACGTCATTAAAAATACATGTGCGTTGCTCTTATTTGGTGTGCTGTGAGTGCCGAATATTTCCTCAATGCAAACATGTTCTCAAGGGAAACGGAGTCAAGGAATGCCAGCAGATTATTGTTAGAGACTTGGATGGAACCTACCACAAGCCAATTATTTATGAAAATCCAAAATATATATTTTAAGTTAAGCCATAATAGTGTAGATATTTGAACTTTTTCTATAAGTATATATTTTTCCATCACAATAAAGCCTGATGTTCACATCTTTTTTTCATTGATATATTATATTATTGGCGGGTGGTACTAATACAAAATTTTATATAAGTTTTAATGACAAAAAAAATCTATTTAGTCGACCAGTGTAATATTATATTTGGAATATTTTTTTTTTTGAGATAAACAATTGATTTTAATAAAAATGACTTTTATTGCATTACAATGTCCTTTCAACATTATACGCCTACCAGACGTATGGTTATGATATAAGGAGTAAAAAATAACCCTATGAAGGCAGGGTTAAGAAAAAAGGACACTCCTAATACATGTATTGCGCATATAAATGCATATATACATATATACTTCAATAAAACAAACAACTAGGGAGCTAGATAATCATTCCATTGTCAATTATTGCGGCTTATTTAATATCTATGTACGTATCTACATACAGAAAACCTATAGCTCACGTAATAGTAATAGCACTAATTTCAATGCCATGGATGCACGCTATTTTCAAGTAAACTAATTAAAAATATTTCATATCCTCGCTTACATATTATGCTGATTTTGAAATAAGACATATCTCCAAAGCTGTTAGTTAAAAAAAAACACTATATAGAATTTTGTTGTAAACTTTGTTGTAATATAAATTTATAATTATTAATTTTTGTAAAATATTCCACAAAATTGTTTGGAGCTAATTTATAAACATACGAGTATGTCAATAAAAATATTAATATTGTTTCAAAAAAATAATTAAAGCTTAATTTTTCTAATGCGGCCCCCACTCTATGGGGAATCTCAGGCTCCTAGTGTATTTGGAGGAGGAGATCGGTCGAAAATCGCTTCAGTGGTTACAAAGCGCCAATTACGTGGAGTGCTAAAAAAAACCGCGAATTTTGTGTTTTTTCAAAAATTATTTATTTAATCACGAATATCTATTTTGTTCCCTTCAAAGTAATCCCCATGAGATATTATACACTTGTGCCAACGGTTTTTCCAACCTTCGAAGCACTTCAAAAAATCATTTTTTTATCTTGTTCAGCTCCTCCTTCGATGCCGTCTTTATCTCGTCATTCGTAGCGTAACGTCGTCCTTTCATGGGCCTCTTCAGTTTAGGGAACAAGAAAAAGTCACGAGAGGCCAGATCTGGGGAATACGGTGGCTGCGGCATCATTACTGTGTTGTTTTTGGCCAAAAAGTCGCGCACAAGCAACGATGTGTGATTCCTTATTAACCGTTCTAGCCTGTGGCAAGAACTCATGATGCACCCAACATTCGGAATGCATCCGCGCACTTATTTGCGTTTTTCACACAAAATTTGATACAGGTCCTTTGATCCATTTTTTTGAATAGGTAAAAATCGAAGACCATCCAAAACACGTGCAAGCAAAGCAGCTGTCAACAATTAAGTGAACATTCAAAATGGCCGAGCTTGTCGCCATAAGTGACAGACATAACGCCAAAAAAAATCGAAATTCGATTATGCGAAAATTCAAAATTCGCGATACTTTTTGAGCACACCTCGTATATGTATAAATATGAATACATATCAATTCCCCTTGCCAACAGCCCATTTCGAGTGATTTATGAATTCCATATTGAGAATTTTCGAGTTGTGTTTTTTTAAGTTCTTAATGGCAAGCTTACCTTCTTCCAGAACTGCTAGTAGATCGTCCAACTCTTCACAGTCTACTGTAAAAAGGTTTTCAACAAAGAAACCGCCAGATTTCTTTGACCAACGAACTGCCAAAGGCTTTCTCGCCGATCCAGGATTCAATAAATCAATTACCTATAAGTATAATAAAAATTACTTGAATGAATAACAACTGTCATACACTTACATATGTATAGTATCAATGCTTGTAGATAAATTATCCTGAATTATATTTGACAATAGTTCTTTGTATTTGTTTTATTGCTTCTAGTTACACATATACACACATAGTGTACACATACATTTCGTAGTTTAAGCAATAAATAAATTAAGTGAGGAAGAACCCAGTTCGATTTTGCAAAATGTGTGTGTTATATATTATGTATAAAACTTTTACTGATGGAGGTAGATTAAGCTTCACTACGTTTGATTTCAGTTGGGCTAGATATATTCCATTTTGAGTTATGCGTAAGTAAAAATCCTGATTGTAATCTGTGGGGTTGACAATTAATTAATTTTCACGATTTTTATATGGTGCCTCCCACTGTCTAGTAATTGAATTAAATAGCAAGATGCATTATTTATATGTAATATAGGAACGTGGGATTGACCTTCTGACATGAAATGAAAGCTCCTCGTAAAACTCCATCAGGTGTTTGGAGTAGTTCGAGTTAGAATAATTTGTAGCTCCCTTCATTTGTTAGAAAAACATTAAGGCGCACACCACAAATTGTTGGAGGAGCTTCAGCGGTTATCAACTATAATAATTAAAAAATTCAAATAGATACAATAAATAGATACACGGCACATGACCTAGCCCGCGTAGCCGTAGTCTCTTCATTCGCTGAACTATGTCAATATCATCATTAAACTCGTACAACAGCTCATCGTTGCATAGCTTTTCGCCATTGCCAATACGCAAAGGACTATACATGGTTCGTTACACCATAACGAATCATCTTGTCTGAAACTTCGTTCGGTACAGACCGGCTCGGAGAGTCAGTTTACACAGCCGCATATGTTTTGCGGGGATACCAAATTCAAACGTAGCGGCGTAAAGACAGCTACTTTTCGTGCTGCTGAAATCGATAGAATATCAGGTTAATGGTTAAATTGCCAGGTCTTAAGTCACACTGATAAGACCAATAAGTTTGTTAACGGTGGGATTCAGCCTTTCACACAATACGCTTGGTAGGACCTTATACGCGATGTTAAGAAGGCTTATTCTACGGCAATTGTCACAGACTGTGGGATCCCCTTTTTTATGGATTGGCTAGGTTACTAGTTTGGCAGTCTGCTTTCTCTCCAACCCGACACGGCAGTCCTCATCGTACCAGCTGTTTTTGTGACTTTTAAGGAAGCCACTAGCTTCATTTGCACCTGTTCGTAGGGAGTTCGAAATGCCGTCTCATAGTTCCCTTATATCGGGTTCCTGATGAGTGCTCTCATATTAGGATCTCGGAACGTAATGACTTCTAAAACGTCCGATGCTGAGGAATGACTTTAGTCAGGTATAATAAATAGATATCACATACACTTGGTATACGATATAGTGAACATAAAAAAAATTTTAAATAAATATAATGCAATTTTCTGGGAATTTAATTAATAATGTATGCATGTACAATATATAATAAATAAATAAAAAACGTAAATATTTTCTGCAAAGAAATTAGCTTAAGGCACTTAAAACTTAAAAAATATTTTTATCTTTGTGGCAGTCATGAACTTGAGCTGGATGAAGTTGAATAATTACTATTACACACAAATATATCTGCACTTACACACAAGCATGAAGTACTCGTTTGTAGTAAATTGCATTTATAATTCATACATAGCTATAAAATTTTGTGCAGTCACTGACCAGAGGGTAATTCCGATATTTACATTGACAATTTGCGTGGGACATTGGTGATTTATTTACGGTACCTGAATGCGCTGTAAAACCATTTTCCATTTGACCACTTTTGCATGGCATTTCAAATGCAGTGTTTACTTTGGCGGATACACGCCTTGTCACTTCGACATGCAATCAAATTGGGGTTGTAAATGCAACCGTGCATCACATACTTGCACTTAAACATAATACATACATATGCACTTGTATAAGAATATGCACGCCAAAAAGGAAGTTTGCTCCTAAATATAAAAGTGAAATGAATTACAAATACATACATGCATATAATATATCTGTACATAAAAATGTACTTATGTACTTATGTCCTTCTGTCAGCACGACTACTATTTGGACTGGCAGATTTCTAAATTTTTAAAATTCAATTACTTTGAGCTTACGGACGTGTCAACTGAAAAATATTTGTGTATAGTGTGGACAAAACGCGTACATACATACATATGTGTGTACATAGATACTCGGACAAAAGTACAAATGTTTTCAGACTATTTTTAACTTTAAAAATAATTACAATTTTAATTAATTGTACAGTTAACACTGCTCTTACTTATTTATTGCCTTTAAATATTGTCACTTGTCTCTACTGTTACGATTCTTATGATCAGAAACAATAAAATCAAATCTTAAATAATAGCAAAAGAAAAAATATTCTACGAAACATAATATTATTACAATTTGATGGCGATGAAACAGAGAATACTTACGAACTTGAATATTTTGCTTCCATTAAGTAAGTCCGTACATGAAGAATTTCGGAGCGTATTTGGGGACAGGAAATGAAATAGGCTGAGAAAGAGAGCTTGAGAAACTAGCCATCAGAGGAAGTGCTCGAAAATTCTACGAAAAAATGCGACGACTTAAGACTGTAGCATACTCATGTAGCAGAAAGGCAACCTGGTGATGATGACATCTAGAGTATACTACGTTTATGGAAGGAAAATTTCACAATCTTGCTTGAGTAGCTTCAATCTGAACCCATCATTGGTCAGGTATTTATCATATGTAAATCTGACACTCACTACGTCTTCGTCGAATTTAAAGCTTTCTTCGACAGAATAAGATGAAGTTGCTTCTGGCCACCTATTTCAAAATTGGGTATCTCTGAAAAACTTGTTGGTAGCGAACTAGTAGCGAACTTTTTATTAAAATAGGAATTGTCTCTTCAGAGCGGTACCAAAAATTATGCTCTTTCTTATGCTGAATAAAACAGTACAAAGTGCAGAACTAAAAAAGAAGGTAGCTTATATTATGAGAGTTAATGAGATAATTCTTGGGGTATTACAATAATACTGTAATATCTGTTTCTAAAAACTAGATAAGGAAGCAAAGCGAATGAGTTTGGTAGTAGATTTGGACAAGACGGAATGTCTGCTGTCATAAAACAAACAGTCAGTCAGTCATTTCTCGTCTTGGCCAGCATGGATGGCCGAGCAATTTAATAGTAAAATTCTCTCTCTAGTATCGTGCACGATGGCAACGTCCGTTCCTTTTGTAGTTTTATAGAGTGAGGATTTGCTATGGGTTTATGGTCCTCATATAATGGAATAATGACCTGTATGAGATGTATGTATGGCGACATAGATGAAATTCAGCGAATCAAGATGGAAGACTTAAAAGTATTCGATGCAGTACCCGCTTGTGTAAGCAAAGGAAGCAGAAGCCCGCCATTTCGGTGGACGGATGGGATGGAGTGGGATCTGTGAAGAAACGACTAAATGGCGCCAACCCCAATTAAGAAAATCGTTTGCTTTAGAAGTAGTTTGCATAGTGGTATATAACCACCGTTCCAACCACTTTATATACCATCTAAATGAAATAAGGAACTGAGCTCTTTATAATTAGCATAAAAATATTCGCTTGCATATAAAATAAATGTATGTATATACTCGTACTTACTCTTTCATTGTATATCTCAAGAAAAGACGCCTTCAACACATAGTTAATATCTTTTCGATTTTTTATCAACTGGAAGAGGTACAAAAACGACCGGAAGATGAGACCGTGGCGCGGATCGTTTGGATTCGGTTTTCCTAAGAACTGAAATAAGCACGAATAAAATATATTTTATATGTATGTATATCAATAAATAATACAATTATAATTAATGGTACACTAATACAATTTTTTGTGCTCGTAAAATAATTTCATGCTGTGCACTCTTACCAGATCAGGTGGCCCAGTTAGCGTATGTGTTTTTCCCGACCCAGTTTGCCCATAACAAAATGCAGTACAGCTAAATCCTTCGATTGCCATTTCAATTATACGTTTTATTCCTGAATAATCCACAATATCCTCTTGGGTTGCTCCTGGCTCAAATACCACGTTATAGGTAAAGACGTGAACATTTTCCTGATTTCGCGACCTTTTGTTACTTCCTTCCGTACTTTCAATCTAAAGAGATATATAGACATACAAACATTGAATTTAAATTATAACCTACACTATTATTAAAGAGACATTTAAAATAAAAGTAGGTAATTATTCCAAGCAAAATATAAACCGTAGTAAAAAAAATCCATTCTTTTTCCAATAGATGGCGTTGTATAAGTACGATCGGGTTCCGCTAGATGTCGTTAGAAAGATGACATTTCGTACTAAAAAAACTGTTTTCGATTCAATTTTGATTGACCGTGCGTGGATGGATAGATGCGCACTAGCATATAGTAACTTCGCTATATTTTACAGTTTTTCTTCGAGAAGGGCGAAAACGCAAGCCAGGCGGCTGAAATCGTAAAAGATGCTCCACGGAGTGGGAGGTCAATTATCGAAAACGTCGATGAAATCATGGACTTTATCGAGTCCGACCGTCAAGTAAGCACTGTTTCGATTGCCCAAGACCGAAAGATTGCAAAAAATCTCGAGAGAGATATACCATTAAATTTTATGCAAAAATAATGGATTTATTTTACTACGCTAATATTTATGATACCATCAATGGCTTAATAAACTTCTCAGAGCTGCTTGGGCAAATTAGCTTTAATGTTCAACATAGAACCTTGCGCTTTCATTGTTCGTTTCTTCTGGATAAAATTAAAACGAATTTTCACAACTTTCATCCTATTGTTAGAGCAATCTCTAAATTTAATAGAATCCTTTATTTCGCTTTCCAGAAATCTCATCTTGGCTTTATTCTTAACGCTTTCTATTCATAGCATAAAAGCATAGTTTTGAGTTTTTGATTAATTGTAGATCTAGTCTGGAAGATTTGTAAATCTCTCACTTAATAAATTGAAATTGTTAAGTCAATTTGGTACTATCAAACTTGAACCTTAGGAATACATACACGAGGGGATTCACAAAAGTTCGGTCAGTTGGTGACTTTTAATTTTTTTCATTAAATCTAAAAGTACCAAATCTTTTGCAATTTCTTTATTAGTCATCCTTTCAAATATTTGAACTATCGCCTAAAATGAAGATCAGAAAACGTAAAACAGCTGAGGAAGTTCAGACGAAATTCCACTACCAACGCAAGCGGAAATTTTTCATGTGATTCTCTTCGATTGCACCATCTATAAAGATTATTTCTAAGTGGTTCCAAATATTCCATGGACATTTTTTCCGTAGAGGACGATCCCAGAGAAAGTCGACCAAAATCGTCCACGGTAGCTCTGGTGAAGTGCAAAACTGACGAAGAACCACGATTGAAACAAGAAATGATTGGGAGTGAATTGGGAATCTTAGATCCTAGAAGAAATGCGCTCGATAGGTACCACGAATTTCAAATGACACTCAAAAAGAGGCTCGATAGCATTTTGCTCAATTTTACCTAAACAAATTCAGTCTGTAAACTTTAGTAAAATCATTACTGGTGACGAATCTTGGTTCCATATGGTCTATGGTATGGAGTCCAACAGGAGGAAACACACACGTAAAACCTAAGCAATAAAAGTAATGATGTCAGTTGACTTTACCTAAGCTGCTATTACACTGGAAAATAGGTTAAACAGTAACTGCAAAATGGTACATCGAAGAATTTTTGTTTTTTGCGCTACCTTTTACTTCATGACAACGCGCCATTACACTCTCTGAGATCAAAGAAATATGTCCAGCTACATGTCCGGGAAACATAGAACCTGCTGTTATTTTGGTTAATGCTGAACTTGTTAAGCTTAAAAAAGCAAGATTTTGAAGAGTGTTTTCAGAAGTAGATCTATCGGCTTAAAAGTGCAATGAAATCAATGTCGATTATATAGAGAAGATAAGAAAGGACAAAGATTACGAATAAATACAAAAAAAAAAATTTATTTTTTTCTGGTCAACTTAGCGAGCTTTTGTTAATCCCCTCGGATGTTATTAGGTAATACAAGATGGTTAATCGATAGTTCCAAGAGAAAAAGTATTGATTGGACAAATTTAAAAGCTCCAATGCATATATACACTTCCAGAAACTTACAATGATTTGACCATTTCCAGGAAACTGAAGGATCATGCCATATCTGTCTCTTTTCTCTTTCTCATTAAGCGGCCGCACTCTGACCACAACATTTATATTGTCATCCGGCGTAGAGGGTTCACTGCCAGTGGATTTCGAGGCAACTATTTCTAATGTATCTGCACTGCCAATTCTGAAAAATCATAAAAAATCACATATTTGTTTATGTATGTATGTATATATTCTTATTTTGTGTTATTTATAAGGTGAAATATGTAATATAATATATATATTTCAAAGTAAGTAATTATGCATTTACTCGTAATTAATTAAGAGAAAGTTTTAGGCGCGAACTTGACTTTAACCTTGGCCAAAAATTATTTCCTTGAACTTGGCGAAAAAGTTGCCGCGTACATTACGTTTGGCACTATTAATAACTTACCAAATCCGTTACAAACCTACATATGTACGTATAGTATGCACACGTTTGACATAAATCGGCGAAAGCGACTTTTCCTGTGGCGTCCACATTTAGTCCAGAATTACGTCTCGCAATTATTTGCAAAACTTGTATGCTTAGGCCAAAGAAGTGTATGTATGTAATCCGTTGTAGTTTAAGTATATGCATAATGTATACATCCATACCAAATACAATAGTTGGCGGCATAAATTAACCACTTTGAGGTTTGTAACACGCAAACACCCCTATCCAGACGTTTCATTTATTTATTGTGTGATTATGTAAGTATGTCCGTTTGTTGACCACCCAGCAAAAAAAACCGACCTTTGCTTCGAAAATGAAATTGTTCCTAGAAGTTAGTCACCTGTGCGGGCGGTTTATTTGGGAGAAATGGTGCATATCCCCCCTTAGAGCTCCATGTAGTATATGATATATTACACATATACTGTATGAATGTTGTATTTGTAATAAATCGAATTCAGAAACTTACTTTGGAGCCATTAAAAAAGGCTATGTAAAGTTAGTAGCTACTTTAAATCGCAAATTGTAATTTTAGTGGTTAAACTGATATCAAAATGTCTGACCAAATAATTTTGGTACTAAATAGGACTAAAATATGCAATTACTAGTCATATTTTTCTGCCAAAGTAGACTATACTAGTGTTTCTATTCCACTTCTAGTTGAGTTTGAAGAGATGCTCTACTAAAGAAACAATGCCATTTCGTTTTGCTAATGTGAAAAGTAATCGTGGCGAAATGATTTTGTTTCGTTTCGACGCCATTGTAACGAAACGAAAAGAAATTGTTAATGTTGACCTTAATTTTAGAATGGCTGCTTGCTACGATTTAACAGCATACTCTAATTTTAACGATTAACATTATCTGTTAACGACAGCTGTTCGTTGCGGGTAAAAACGAAAAAAATATTTTGATTAGTTCTTTAACGATAACATTTCCAAGGAATTCAACGGAAGCGATTTTTCAACGAGAAATTTTTCAGCCTTAATTGAATATTGATTCTAAGCTTTATCTTATCACTGCCACAAATCTCAAAATACATTTAAAAATATGACACTTTTAAAATTTTCTGCTATTTTATTTAACTATAATATTTTTTACAAAATTTGCTTTAAACTTTATAAATTATAAAAATAAAATTTATTACACATGCAAAGTTATTAACGATTTTGATTTAATGGCAATAAAATATTACAGCAATGAATAAAAAAATTGTTGATACCTAATTTCGCAAACGTATAGTACTTAAATAAGTGGAAATTCAAAGAAAATTGACAAAACCTCAAAAATTTCCTCTTTGAGAATCGCTAAGTATATCTCTGACACGAAAACAAATACAACAAGAAAGAATTGTTGCCTTCGGCTTTTTTTGTGAAATTTCATTTTTGAATTAAAATTTAATTCACATATCTGAAGCATCGGTTGTAGGAAGAATATAGTGCTCCGATTCCGATGATAAGTATCACTATTTATATACATACATAGAAGACAAAATTTCATACTCTTGTATGCTTTTGTAACGAATTTTTGACTCAAAACGTCATATCTGAACAAATCGATTTGATGAGGGATATATGATAAAGTCGCCCGATTTCGGTTATTTTCATTGCTTATGTGCCATTTATTATTATGTGTGTTAAATACCAAATTTCCTGTTCTTAGATGCCTTTTGAAGTACTTAGGACCTGTCTCCGTCAAATACAATAATCAATACAGTATCAATACATCTGTTTACCAAGTTGCATATAAAAAGGCGCACAAACCGACATGACTAATTCCAATCCTCTGAGCGATATAAATTTTTGTGGGTCTATCTATTCTCCTGGTACTTACATACTTCGGATCAAAGTTAATATACCACTTCATAGTAATTGTTTACACGAGCCTAGTGTTCAACTTGAATGCATTCCAATATTCACTACCATCTATGAAAAAAAATATATATAAAATAAAATCAGTTCTATCATACCTTTTTCTCAGCGGCAAGATCAGTCTAAGTCATCGAGGTTATAAAAAGGGAGGTCCAGGAAACGACTAATTTCGACGGACTCGGACCGGGGCAAAGGGGATTAAGTGAGTTGGTTTCAGGTGTTTTGTGTTATGCGGGGACTCATTGCATACAAGACATACGTTGGGTATGTCGGGACCAAGTCTGGATACGTAGAAGTTTACTGTACTTGCCAGCATTACGCGGGACTTTTGCGACTGGTCGAACTCCTCACCTGCTATAGGAGGTGTTTTGACTCCGAGGACGCTTCACTGGAAGAGAATTCAGGAAAGTATTAATGGACTCTCGGTGAATGGCGTTTAATGTCTGTCGGAAAGCCATTCTGTTCAGTGGCAGCATCCCACCAGAAATTGGTTGCACGGCAATGCATTATGATCTGTAACTCATAGCATGGATTCTTCGCTGTGCAAGTGATGCTCTCACGACATCGGGCTTCCAATCAGGCTTCAATAACGGTGTTTTGACAGTCTCCGGCGCCCAGATTGGAGCAGTACACTTTGCCACAGCATAGTCAACTCTTACCACAGCCGTTTCTCCGCCAAGTGCTGTAACCCTTTCGGCGACCTAACCCCCTTCGCTTATTCATTTTCCAAATTAAAGGTAAATACAAACGTTAATATTATTTTAAAATTAAAACAAATTTATTTTAATGATTTCGTTCCAATACTGAATATTTCGGAAAAACTTTGGCTCAGAAAGCTTTTCAGTTTTTCTGCTGGGTTTATAAGACCTTTCATAAGGAGTATGTATGCATGTACGTGTATGTATGTGGAGAACATTTTTCTTTGCACACAGAGTACTTTACTTTAATTGTTATTTTAAGATTGATGAACAAATTCGTGCTTTGCTTTATTGCGTGTGGTGATATGCATATTTATTCAGACACATATACAGGTAAATATGTATGTATTCAACTATACATACACAAATATAATCAGAAAATGAAATTTGAAAAATGTTAACAATTTGTAATTTCATTAACGATTCTAATGAGTCATATTAAATATTGGATTCATCACAATTTCTATGAGTATTTCAGTATTAGATCAACACCTTCAACCATAAAGAGCTTTAGGATAACATTCGAAATGAAATTAATTAAATAATTAATACACACATATATAATATATATTTGAAGCTTTGTAACTCCTCCAATCTTAGTTTGTGTCTTTATGGTTTTTAGCAAACATATGGTGGGGCCTATAATTTGTTATAAGCCGCCTCCGAACAGCTGATAGATTTTCTATTTTTTATAAGGAGGTATTCTATTTCACGTCAGAAATACAGACAGAGGAATTGAGATTCCCTGTCCAGAGACGTCCCCAATTACATAAGCTAACTTTCTATAATTTCGGCTGTTGGTCAAAGTTGAACTCAAACCCTGTCCTTCCGAATAATAGTCGGCAATGCTAAAAGCGTGGTTATTACGGCTGCGGTTATTATACTCATAATTGGCTCTATATATTTTTCTGCATAGCTTTTATACTTGTGATGGACGTATTGATGTTTTCCCACTAATAGCTCCACCAATAAAATCTGATGCATTTTCAATAGAAGTTTTTATTTCATGTCTTATTTAATAATAATTGTTGCAGAAGGGCGGTTGAATTTAAAAAAAAACTTTTATTATTTGTACAGGGATAACAACCTGTGCTACAACTTCTCTTTAGATGTTTAGAGAAGGTCCAATAAAATTTTTGAAAAAAAAACCAGAATGGAAGGAAAATACAGCAGTTGAGCATCTCTTATCTAAAGTTCACTCTCTACGTTACCAAGTAACGAGAATAGATCTCCTTATTATACTTTATTGATGTAGGCACGTTTCTTATTTACTCTTTTTGATGTCAATTGGAAATACCAGCTGCAGCCATTTCATTTTTCAGGCCTTCTTGGTTTTCTGGTTCCGCGAGACATTGAATCGAATATTTAAGATTAACATTATTGTTGGTGCTTATGCTGGTTTCTAAGTACACGAAATTATCTATAACTTCAATGTTACAACTGTGAGGTGTGAACAAAGTTCCAAGTGCGGAGATATTTTATCTTTGAGCTCGTTTATAACTACACCCATTCGCCTCGTTCCTTATCCAATCTGGAGAAAGTAAACCTAACGTTACTGTTGTTGAGGCCTTCTATCAAGAGTTGCTTTAAAACAGATGAAGAGATTTGTGTTGATCCTATTGTTACTGGCCTTTTCTAAGATTTGACGCATATTGAATATGACTGATAAGGTCTTCTCAGTTCTTTGATGGTGGAATTTCTGTTTCACATAAAAACCTGATATACAATATTGAAAGCCCCCTTAACGGTAATTGGTGCAAATTGTGGGTCTCCCTTTTTCTGTGAAGAAACCATATGACCAGATGGGGGTTCCATCTTATTAAGTTATTTGTACATATATTCATACATATTAAAAAAAGCATTTTCTCGAATTTGAAATATAAAATTATTTCAAAAAATCAATTTTTTCAAATAATGTAGATAAAAATAGAATTTAAACGTTTGTGGCTTCTTTGAAAGAATGATCTTAGTAGCCTGCTTAGTAGAATCAGGAATTATTTATTTTCTTTTCATGCTCATTTTCTTTCATGAATATCATAATATTCGGACTACGTATTTATTAACTAAATACCAATTCTCTTTAGTGAGGTGTTAAAAAATTGTAGTAATATTTATAATACTAGTTCATTAACCCTGCATTTATATT